CACATTTTTAGACTTATACCTCGAATTTGACATAAGCGGTCATCTCAGTACCAGAATCTATGACAAACGAGACGATTTTATGTTTGAAATTATTAATTTCCCCTACCTTAGTAGCAATATACCAACTTCACCTGCATATGGGATATACATTTCCCAACTCATTCGGTATTCAAGAGCTTGCAGCTGCTACTCAGTCTTTGTAAAACGTCACCAGTGTCTGAGCAGAAAGTTGATGAACCAGGGTTATGTCAAAGAACGTCACGTCCTTTTTCTAAAAAAGTTCATCGGAAGATACCAAGACCTTGTTGATAAGTATTCCGTATCAACTTCACAAGTAATACATGATGGTCTTGAGGTATAGGTTCTAGGTACTGACGTTTTTTATCATCTTAATAATGTGTTAAAGTATTTTTTTATTTGTCTTTGTAAATTATTACTTTTACTGTTTAGTATATTTTTGGTAATATCCATTTGACCTGGCTCGGTACTTATACATCTAGTCATTGTGTTATTGTACTATGGTAAGTTTGTGTATTTTTGTCTTTCGTTTTTTGCTAATGTGCTTTGTCTATATGCATTTTTTTTTCTTTGTTGATATATTTGTTTGTTTTTATGGTAATTCGGATTATAACACAATGTTAACTGCTTTACTCCTATTTTTGACATTTTTACCTATTATGTCTGTTTGTTTTGTTCACACATTGTTGTCAATATAATGGACTGTTATACAACTGTCATACAATTGATAGGTTTGGCTAGCTATAAAACCAGGTTTAATCTACCATTTTCTACATAAGAAAATGCCTGTACCAAGTCAGGAATATGACAGTTGTTATCCATTCGTTTGATGTGTTTGAGCTTTTGATTTTGCCATTTGATAAGGGACTTTCCGTTTTGAATTTCCCTCGGTGTTCTGTATTTTTGTTATTTTACCTATTACGGGTTTTTTGTGTAGTTTAGGTAACCAATACATAGTGGGGACCTTCAAATGTTCAGAGAAGTCCTTTAGCTGAGTTGTGGTAGTGACATCATCATGTACTATTTGGCTCTCTGTGGTGCTCACGGCTTTGGGTGTTGTTGAATGTATTATTTCATTCCTATGGACTTCCGTGTAGTATTCACATCATACCACTATCACAATGTTGGCTGCTTTGTCAGCTTGTACGAAAACAAAACGCTTTGTGAGTACTTTAATATTGTTTTTAATGCTAAAAATAGGCGTGTTACTTACTGTTTTTTTAATTCTTAATTATTTTCGAAATTTGATATGCAAATATCAACAATATTCAGACATTGATTAAAATAATCAGTTTAAGTCAAATAGCCTCTAAAGTATTCATACAACGTTGGTTTCAAATTTTCGAATTACATGCTCAAGAGGGAGGCAAATCGAGAAAACCACTTTGGACGCATGAAATACATACATCGTTATTTTATTTTTTAAGTCAGTTTCTCAATTATTTGATAAATTACCTATAGCTTTTACGTGAAGTTAGTTTACCATAACTGTCTGAAGGTTCATCTCATCTTGAATGTGTATGGTTATTCATCAATCTGCAGCTTAGTGATAAGGGCTGATATAAAAAAAAAAATTTTCACTTTAAACATCAAACATTCTGTTGTTAAGGTCATTGGTTTGCAATACCGCATTGTTATTAATGCGTATAGAATAAATAAGTTTTTTGGAAAATCACAACAGGAAATAGGTCCCAAAATGATTTATAGAAATTCTAAAAAAAGAGACGGGTGATATAGAAGGAACATTCAAAACCCATTAGTGGAAGAAATACTGAAAACGCCATGCCAAAAAAAAACGAAAAATGACCAAAAAACGAACATGTCCACAAAACACCGCACAGAAAACTAAAGACCGAGCAACACGAAGCTGGCCTAATACCGGGGGTGATCTCAGGTGTTCCGAAAGGATAACTAGTTTCTTCTTCACATGTGGCATTCGTTGTGTTGCTCATGCATTTGCAAATCTAGATTACAAACCTCATTCGGTGATGTCGCAATAGAGAAAAAGAAGAAGGGATTGCGGTATCGAAATTTGGAACATCTGTGACACACATATTCCATAACGGTCAATCGATTCATTATGGCGTCCGTAAAACTCATGCACAACAAGAACCCCTGTTAAACCTTGGTTGTACTTATTAATTAAATTAAGCTGTTCCTGTTTTACTGGAGGTACATGATGGGTGGATTAGAAAGAAAACATACTATAACGATCAACTTTTGGGATATTCATTAATGAGGAAAAAAACTTAATTCTAAAATGGACATATGTGTGGTGATTTGTGCTCCTGATTTTCCGTAAGGTCAGCCTCGTGGTGTTTTAACATTGAGGACCCTTTGTTTAGTAAACTTGTTAAAGCAGCAACTGATAAGAGATACAAACACTCAAATATCGTATTACCTTGTAGAAATGTACTAAAAAAGTAAATTGGCAAAAATACCGAAATCCAAGAAAAATTCAAAACGGAAAGTCTTTTATCAAGTGGCAAAATGAAAAGCTCAAACACATCAAACGAATGGAAAACAACAATCATATTCCTGACTTGGTACAGGCATTTCATCATGTAGAAAATGGTGGAATATCAAAAAGCCATTGACATTGTTCCTACATGTTAATTTCTAAGTTATCAGCATTTCAATTTGAAAGACACTAATGATGTCTTTTACATTTTTCATCTGTTTATAAATGTAGCAATTCGATAAAAAAAATATCACCAATAGCGTATATAACAGCTTTCTCCATCAGAAAAAAAACCTAATATTATTATTTTGAAAATGAAAATTGGACTAGCAAATTCGTAGCGATAAGAAAGACAAAAACATGGTATTAGAAAAAAATGTGTGTGCCCCTTTATATCTTTTCCCCTCTTTAAGTTTCGACATTGTCTACAAAATCATTAGTTTCAATCTTTTTCTTAATGATACATTTTTCATAATTGCCGTAAAACACACAGTTGATGTAAACAAAAGTAAACAAATATCAAATAGTCAAAGATCTTTCATATTAAAAAGAAATTACAGTGCATCGATACAATTTGTGGATCACTTCCGAAAGTCATTCACCATTCAATTACAAGCGACGTAGGATTTAAAAGATTTAGATTTTGTTTAATCGAAATTATAAAATTTTCGCTTCCTAATTAATTCTGCATTGTAAACATTGATATCATGACGAATAAGCAAAAAACGTAATTGTCTGAAAATTGGTTTATCTACTACAATAATGATATAGAATAAACAACGAAAATATATACGCGTAAATTCCCTGGTTATCAAAAAGTTAAATCACAAAAATACTGAACTCCGAGGAAAGTTCAAAACGGAAAGTCCCGAATCAAATGGCAAAATCAAAAGCACAAACACATCAAACGAATGGACAACAACTGTCATATTCCTGACATGGTACAGGCATTTATGAGATGCCGGAAACTTTAATTATGGACGACCAATTATCCACAGCGATCTTCGGTTTACTGTTAATAGCATGGAAACTTATTTATGGATTTATTTAATATGATTAGTTGATTATTGGTTGTTGCTTAGCGTCGTGTCAGCTGAACCTATTATTGGGCTACGGAGCTATTCAATTCTTCAAATATATATTCCCTTAAAGTAAAGGATAAGAGGATATGCGGAACTGTCTAAAGTAAAACAAGATGTTTTAACAACTTAGTATGAACATTTCAATCATTTAGAAGAAATATAAGTTTTTACATATTCACAATTTGAAATTAACATATAATAACCCTAGTTTTTGCTATTTGGAATATTCCACAATGTGAATTTTTTAAACACATCAACATTTAAGACAAATTGAAAAGGCTTTTATATTTCAAAGTTTAGAAATTGATGAAATATATTAATCAACAAACGAAAAGATACAATGCAGTGCATTTTCTACATGGAACCAAAACCAAAAATTGCCCAATTATTCTCATATTCACAAAGTGTTGTTTTCTTATAGCGCTTAAATCACTTTTTCACCCAAAACTTAAAAAAAAAACGAAATAAGAACTTATACTTAGAGTATAAACATGTTCTGATTAAATATGGAATGCCTGTGCACGTATTTAAGTATTTATTCTCTCTTAAAAATTTAGGCCGATTGTAATCAAGTTCTGCAAAATATATTAACCCCTGTGTCAATTACTCGATACTTTCTTTTCAACTTGATTAGATATTTTTTATCATATGCGCTTACTTTGCAAATGAACGTTTTTATTAGATAATTACAACTTTTCTCTAAACATAAAGTTTTGTGATAAATTGGTAGTCAAACTTATGTGTCGTTACTTTTTTACTAGAATATAACACTAACCTATTCCTGCATCTTCCATATTTAGCTACGCCCAGCCCCTGTCTTCAAATGCAGTTTATGTTTGATTGTTGCTAACTAAATGTGGTCATGTAAATCAAGGCTGTTTGACATTGATATATTTGAATATGCATATTCTAATAAGAGAAAATTTCATCAATACAGCAACACAATTGGATTCGTTTTTGAGCATAAGAATAAAAAAATGCCTATCAGTAAATTATTTGCTAAAGATGTTTATTCACTTTTGATCGATCAGGGAAATGTTTCTCCTATTTCACAACAAAGGTGGGAAGAAAGTTGTAATACAAAAATAGTTATAAAAAATGGAAAAATATTTATTCACTGGCTTTTAAATGTACAATAGAAAGCAAACTACAGGCTTTCCAATACAAAATGTTACATGGAATAGTCTCTCATAATTATCTTGAAAAAAATAAACTTTCTGATACTAACGAATATGCCAGTTGTAAAGAGATAGAAATTTTAGAGCATAAATTTTTGAATGTACAGAAATAAAACATTTTTTGAGAGAATTTTCTAATTTGTGGTATTTTGTTTTTGGAGTAACAATAGTTTTGAATAAAGACAGGGTAATTTTTGGTGTTTTGAATTCTGATAACTTAGTTTTAAGTTATTGTATTCTACAGGCAAAGTATTACATTAATTATATATGGGGGGATTATGGAATTTATTTAATTTATTTTGAATATGATTGTATATTTAATGGATTCCAAAGTATTCTTAAGATAGTATCATTGACTTTATATTCACATCGTAGACTTATAAATTTTAACTATTTCTTAGTCGCATAATAACAATTATAACAATGTCATTAATTTTATTCACTTATGTCTTGTAATTAGACATGTATGCACATCTATACTACTTTTTTAAACTAATGAAGAAAACCCGTATTATCTTTTGTACAATAACATCAGAATGCCGTTTTTCATTTTAGCCTTTCCGGCGGAAACAAAAAAATCTTCAAAAAGACCAAAGAGGCTATTTCACCAGTTAAATGATATGATAGTTGTACGTCGATTTCAATATGTTCATCAACTTGATGAAATAGAAACAATAAACAACGACAAAAAGATACGCATAATTATTTTAATAGGTAAATGTTATCATATAATTTGAAATCTGATTTACTGTTATCAAATGAAACCTAAACGAGAACAATCATTGAAAATAGCACTTGATTAATTTCTTTTGTTGCGTCCAGAACGTTTTTCTGAATCTACCTTCACCAGGGAGGTTCAAAGCAAAACATTAAAAGTCAATGATGTAAAAAAAAAAAGAAGACCAAAACACATGAAGAGCTGTATTGCCAAAAGGGAACCTAAACTTTGACAGAATTCATCAACGGAGAATGTACTCCTGTCAGTTCTGAAGCATTGACTACTGGGTTGATGATATAAGATAGATTATTTGGAACAATAGTGCTTAAAAAGATATAGTTAGATGCAAATTATTTGTAACGCATGCAATTTATAAAGTAGTGTTTTCCTTTTTGTAAATGTTCGACCAAATTATATAATACTTATAAGTGTTAAAAAAGTAGTCAAAGTTAACATTTGCTTTTTTTTATGGTTATTTATGTCAAGAGTGGTCTTACTTTTGGTTCTGTTTAGTTTTATAGGCACTTCAACGATTAAATCAGGTTTGGATTTTCAAATCTTTTGGCCTCAAGCATCACCGGAGAGACAATGATTTTCGAAATGTCCGTCTGGTGCAGTACAATTGGTACCGTTAGCGTTATTAGCGGGTACAGCATATGGTGCATGATCTAATACCCTTGCCTGGTCATGGTGTTTTGCTAAGTCTTAAGTTTTTTGTGAACTTGTTTGTCATTTCGGCATTTTCTTTTTTGCCATGGCGTTTTCAGTTTCTCTGTAATAAATGAGCCAATCTAATAAAATAAGATATCTTAAGCCGATCTTTGTTTACGAAACATTCCAAGTCTTAACTACTACGACACTCAGGTTTTACGCTGATAACTACCAATACCTGTGAAAAACATGATGCTTTTATTACTATAAGTATATTTCACTTACAGTAATATGAGGCAAGTCTTAAATGTGAAATTGGACCAACCCATTTAACTAGCTATGTAAACACCTATAAAAGATACAAGACTTATATTTGGTACGCCAGACGCGCATTTCGTTTTATAAGACTTCATATACTCTCGAATGAAAACAGTTGGAAGGCTAAATCAAACACGAAATTAAAGAGTATTAAAAATCGAACATTCCAAATAGCTGTGACAAATAAGGCTTAGGCAACCTATACCTGGGGGTAGAAGACCTCAGTGATTGAGATAATTCAATATTTTGTAAACAGAGAATTTACAGAAAAATGAAAATATCAATGATATGTTATATTAACATACAAATGCTAACGACTATGCTGGTGATACCCTCGGAGACAAAACGTCCACCATCAGTGTCATTATGTATGTACACAAAAACACACGATCTTTGCTATTAATTTCAGGAAATCTGTTTATATCATAAAAGTGTTAATTCTTAAAAATTCGAGTTATTTCTACATGTAATTGGAGAAGATAGACACATCGGCGTGTTTTATTCTTTTGTTTACAAAATCACCACTATTTATCAGGTGAGTTTTTCCTGAAACTCATTTTTCCTTTCGTTTGCCATTTAATAAAATGGTATGTTGAATAAGCATTAAAGATTCGTTTTTATGTAAACAAACATAGGAATTTAAAATATTCTTGTTCTTTCACAGGCATCACTTGCCTCTTCTTACTTGTTCGTAATCAGGTTTTTAAATAATTGCGGGAAATCCATGCTTCTAAATGATGTAATCGGATAAAAATTGAAGGAAATCGTAATCCTGCTAAAAAGTTCAACCAGAACGTCTTTTCTGTAAATAAGAAAGTCATCATATTACCATTTTTACCAGGCATTTTGTTCTTCAATTACACGATTTTTTAATATTGCTGCGTTTTTCATTGCATCTGTGCACTAAATTTTTGAATAAAATGTTTCAACACAAAATGAAAGTACTATTTGTCTTTTCCTGACAATCAACGGAAGAGGTTTAGCCCTTTAATGCAACAATGATCACTCAATACTTTAACCTGCGTCGCCGAAGGCTGCACCAGGTCTAGTAACCGCACAACTCAGTCCGTCTTTCCGTTCGAAACAAATCGTCAAATATTTCTTGGCTTCTATGTGGGGATTATTTAATATTTTATCTTCAGCTTTATAATGTTGAGTGGTAGTGAGTTAGCAATTTTTACAGCTGCCATGTTCCCATTTCCTGTTTGCCGATAGTTGGAAATTTTAAAACACTCTTTGTACAAAGAAAATTTGTCATCAAAGTTTTCTCAGCTCCTTTTGAAGGAAATGATTTAATATTTAGTCTGCAGCTTTATAATGTTAAGATGTAGCGAGCAAGCAGTTATTACATCTGTCATGCAGCCTCTTCCTGTTTTGCCAATAGTTTATTACCTATTGTACAAGTAAATGTTCGTCAAAGTTTTCTTGGGTTCTGTAAAAGTAAATGATTTAATATTGGTCTGCAGATTTATAATGTTGAGTTGAAACCAGTATACAATTTTTACATCTGCCATGTAGTCTCTTCCTGTTTGCCGATAGTTTGACATTTTACAACATTCAATGTACAAGGATAACTTCCGTAAAGTTTTTTTGCTTCTATGAAAGGAAATGATTTAATTTTTAGTCTGCAGCTTGATAATGTTGAGTTGTAGTGAGTGGGCAATTTTTACATCTGCGTGTAGCCACTTTTTGTTATCCGATTGTTTGACATTTTACAACACTCAATCTACTAGGAAAGTTTTCGTCAAAGTTTTCTTGGCATCAGTGAAAAGGAATGCTCAGTTATGCTCCAGTATACATATAACGTCAATCAATTGCATGCAGCGACGGAGGTCCAGACCCGGTAATGGTCTTGTTAACGTCAACAAAATAACTGTCATGTCTAAAATGTTAAGATTTTTTCATTCCTTTTAGGACAAACTGGTGCAGGCAAAACACAGTCAGCTTATTGGGTTTGCAGGAAGGCTCAAAGCAAGTATTCTGTAATAGTGAAACTATCTGCATCGAACAGAGCAGATTTTGTGACATCTTTAAAAAATTTCGCCATTAATCTCAATCTTGGCTTGCCACATGAAGAAGATGACATGAAAATCATAGAATCAATATCTTCTACCATTGTTACTTACTTGAATAATGTTTCAAAAGAAAGTGGTTTAAAGAATATGTTTTTGGTATTAATCGACGATGTGCATGTTGATAATGCAGTGAATGATTCAGAGACAACTCTGTCAAAAATGGTATCAAAAACAATATTACTGTTGAGTGAGGTAAACACTTTAAAGTTAATTATTACAACAACTAATCCTATGTTGTTTGACGATTGTTGTTTAGATTATAAAGAAGTAATATTTGTAGGAATGATTCCTACAGAGTGTGTTTCGTTTCTGAAAAGGTCAGAACACTTCAAAGAGGAAACAAATGAAGATATTGAAAACTTGATAAAAAACATTGGATGTCTCCCAATAACAATTAATTCTGCAAGAAAGTTTATGATCCAACATAAAATGCATATCAAGAAATACATCAAACTGTATGAAAAGTTGAAAGATGCAGATAACGAAAATATCACCGAAGTTGTGAATTGTCAAAAAATACCTGTAGAGTATATAAAGAATGGTCTCGACGGTCCTTCGTGGGAAGTAATTACGTTATTGCCATACTTAGACTATAATTCCATACACCAAGAATTAGTAGAAGCTTGTTGTCATCATATTTGTAAGGATGAGACAAAGGCAGAAATAATCATTGGTAGATTTCGAGAGTATTCATTGTGTCAATATGATAAAATACCTAGATTAAGGGTATTTAGTACCGATGATAGTCAAGAGGATAGGATAATATCATTTCACTCAGAGACAATGCTAACATTGAAATTAATTGACAAAAACCACAACAACAAAAAAACAACGGATCGCCATAAATTATTTGTCCTGCTCAAAATGTTTTTTTTTTTAAATAGATCTTGATGCAAGAATAGATACTACTTTGGAAAGAAATTTGTTGTTTCTGAATCATGCTCGATGTGTTCTCCGCTTATTTGCAGAGGGTGTTTATGATCTAAATGAAAACGAAAAAGTATATATGTCTTATATAAACTATCTCCTTGGGAAAACAATTTTATATCAAGGAACGGATATACCTCTTGCACATAAACACTTGATGAAATCACGAAAATTGTGTCTTGAATTTGTTGAGGAAGATTCAGATCTCACAATTAACAAATGTCCTCATTTTGCTACCAAGAAAGGCACTGGCATAGAGGAAGTTCCCATTATGCAGCAAGAGAGAGTTACGGGTGGTTATGCAAGCCTTAGATCGAAAACACTTGATCTTGATTTTGTAAAAGAATTTGTTCTAAGCAAAAGAAGAAATAAAAGAGACATCTATGTCCTACAGCAAGAAGGTGGAAGAGAGATAATGCGCAAGTCGAATTATCTATCAGAAAAAGAATATCAACATCTAACTAGTTGCAAACCAAAACTAGCTATGCCTCTAGAATCGTTATGTAAGACTTTTTTGAGCGAATTGATGTTACATATTCTGCATGATGATGGAAAGGCTTTAGACGAATTAATGTCGGGGTCAGAAACGTATAAACATGTTAAACGTGCTTGTGTATTTGAGGTTGACACTTACAAAGAATTAAACAGTCTTATACAAAGTGAGGAGGAATTAAAGGACTTTCCTCTCCTTCGGTATCTTTCAATTAAGAGAGGAGAACAGGACATAACTGTCCACCAATGTACTTTGGATGAAATTAAATCACATATTGACAATTTAAAGACATTATTACAAAATCAATATCTTTACTTTGAATTTGGAGTAGTTAAGACGTTATCAAACAATTTTGAACACCATTACCTAAGCTGCTACAGACTCCTTATAAAATGCATAATAAAGAAACATAAACTATCAAATGAAAGTGAAAAAGATGAAATATTAATAGAAGGAAGGAAATATGTAAAACTACTTTGTGAAATATTATCAAAAATCGAAACCGACGAGAACGCGGTAAAATGGGTAGAAATACCCAAATTTTATAATCAATGTGCACACTTTTTACAGTTATCGGGACGTTTGAATGACCAACACGATTTAAGACACGCTGTAGAATTGTATGGAAAAGCAATCGAAATAGAAGAAAATAGACAAGCATACATTACTCGTTTTTTGCTAGAAGGATATCATGGCAAAGTCAACTGCCTTCTTATCCTCAATATGGAGACGGATGCGAAACGTATTTTTGACAAACTAAAGAACACATTACCAAAGAGTAGTGAATTCTTGATAAAGATGGAAGCTTTGTTTTCGAAAAAGGACAATTGAACAAACAAAATTGTTTACTTATTTAGACATGCTTTTATTAATGTAAACATTACATGAAATGGTACATGGTACCTAGTTCATCCTTGTTTTTTTTTTTATAAAAAAGTAGTTTGACTGTGTTGTAAATGTGTGTATTGGTTATTTCCAAGTAAAGAAATATTGTTATTATTGTATTAAGAGAGTTTATATGAGTTGTCAGAAGGTATTTCTAGTATATTGAATGAGTAATTAACGTACGTTTTACTTTATGTTATTAGATGTATCGATTACGTCATATATGGCGCAAATTTGTCATGTATTATTCAGAACGTTACCGTTGGGTTAATATTGTAATCGTGAACCCAAAAGTGTTCATTTGTGAGCTCTCAACTTAAAGAAATAATATGTCTTGATTGTTTTAGTAACAAAAGTGTATTATTATAAGCATTTTGAGTCGAGGACTTGTATATTTTATGTCGGCGTTTGACGTTATGTTTTTCTTCTTGCTTAGAATATTTACTTCCGGGAATTTCAAATAAATAACTGTGCAACGTCACGTTCGTCAGTCTTTGCTGTGTTTACATTTGGCTTGCAGCAAGGCTCAGCCCGGGGGTTCCTAGAGGTGAGAAGCAGCGCATTTAGCTGTATGCCTCGCAGTTTATATTACAAGTAAGGGTCGTAGTTTAAAGTAAGAAGAAGCGCAGATAGCTGTATGCCTTGCATTTATTTATGTTGTCATTGTAGAATTTATTAAGATAATCCCGTTTGGTCCGTACAAAAATACAAGAGAAAGAATGTTAGTTTAGTAGCTCCGCCCCGTATGTAAATTATATAATTGTTGCACGAATATTGTACATGTATGGAAATATTTCGGCTGTTCTAGAAGTTTAATAAAAGTATCATTTTCTACTATTGATTATTTATTCACGCTACCAATGATGAGAGAGAACAGACAACAGATTTGACGGCCGTATTTATTTATCCCTTAGTTTAGTCACAAGTTTTGTGAGTTTATTCGTATTTGCTGGCTTTAAAACTATACAAAAAACATAGCAAGAAGCAGAAATTACGACAATGGTGGCAGCGGTTTAGTTCTCACGTTTCAAGGAATTTGGCACGTCTATTTTTAGAAATGTTAGTGTGTATGGAACACATTTCGAAACATATTTGGTGTATGGAGTGCATTTAGCTCTATACATTATACGGTAATAAATAGAATATTTTGGAAAATACAGGAGTGCATTTAGCTTCTAAAATTAAGAAAATATTTAAAAAGGAGGTGCATTTAGCTTCCTAGAGAGAAAAAAAATATTTATAAAGGAGGTGCATTTAGCTTCCTAAAAAGAAAAAAAAAATATTTATAAAGGAGGTGCATTTAGCTTCCTAGAAAGAAAAAAGAAAATATTTATTTATAAAGGAGGTGCATTTAGCTTACTAGAAAGAAAAGAATATTTGTAAAGGAAGTGCATTTAGCTTCCTAGCAATTATTTAATAGAGAAATAGAGGTGTAGTTAGCTTCTATTGGCATATTATTGTTTGTTTTAAAAATGGATATTAGAAATAGAAAAATCCCAGCTCCAAATTTTGGAAGGGGGGAAAGTATGAAGAATATAATTATTTCACAGAGCGGAACTGTTGAGCCCTGTAATTTAATAGATTTGGGTATAGAAGATGATGTTAATTTATCTACATCCAACCCCACAGTAAGTCCTATAAACTCGCCTGTGCAGAATACTAGGACGATTGAGGAAAGTAAGACGAATTTGAATGATAACAATATTATTGCGATTCTAATGGACATTCAAAGACAATTGAAAAATCAAAATGATAGATTTTCTGAGCTCAAGACGAAAGTTTCTGAGATAAGCATGCAAGTTTCTGAGATGAGCACGCAAGTTACGTTAAATCAGGAAAATATAGCTAAATTAGCAAGGGGTAACCATGTGGCTGAAAATAACACCAATACGCAGAATTTCAGTCAAAATAGCATAGGCTTTAACAGGACCACAACTGAACAAAATAACCAGATATCAGTGACCCAACAGTTAGCAGCTGGTCCAAGTACTGACAACACTTATACACCACGTCCAGTTAGTACAAATCATGTAAGAGAAAGTAGTCGTGTTCAGCAACTACAAAGGGAAGAACCAAAACCTAGAAGTCCATTCTTTAATGGTAAGGGGGATTTCAATGCCTTCTGGACACAGTTTATTTTACTCAGTAATAGGTTTAGTTGGTCCAATGACAGACAGATAGAGGAACTAATTCTAAATTGCTTGAGAGATGAAGCCCTAGTATATGTAAATGAGCTTCCTATGCCACTCCATAAAGATATAAAATGTATTCATGAGGCTATGTCACAGAGATTTGGGGACCATATATTACCAGAGACTTATAGGACCAACTTGCAGTTTATTAAACAGAACCACAAAGAAAGCATACAAGAATATGCATCTCGTGTGGAGAGACTAGCAGGTAAGGCATACCCTGATGTAAATGACTTGAGTTTGCTGGACCGTTTCAAAACAGAACACTTTATTAAGGGTCTACCAGACCAGTCACTAGCTTATGAGGTCCTCATACAGAAGCCAGCAACATTGCAGGATGCAATAAATATAGTCACATGGCACGAGTGTTGTCGAAAAAATGTAAATAAAAACTTTAATGTAAGACAAGTAAATATCGATGCAAACTGTATAGCACAAGAGAAAACAGAAGACTTCGAGGTATGTAGGACGGAGAATCCAACCCAATATGTCACTCATGCAGAATTTAAAATGGGCATAGATGATTTGAAAAAGGAGTTCAAAATGGATGTTGAAGACATAAAGCAGGATTTAAATGAGATAAAAGATCTGATTAAAACTGAGAAGCAAGAAAGAGAAAATTTTAATCCCTTAAATAGACATAATGTAAGAAAGAAAGACCAATTTAATACAAACAATAGTAGTAGAGTAAATACATGTTACGCATGCCACCAAGAAGGACATTTTATTAGAAAGTGTCCTTTCTCGAGAGGAAAAAGAGGGAACCCAGAAAATATGAATACTTTCGAAAGGAACCCGCAGTTTGGATTTACAAGTCGGGATTATCAGAAATAGTTGGGCCTATATAGCAGATAAGCCTACTGGCCAAATATCAGAATATTTTTGTGTAGATTCGGATTTTTTATAATGTATATATGAAACTTGTGTGATTTTTTTGTTATTGATAAAATGTAAAAAGTGATTTTATGGTTTATTGAGAAGACTTGTAATATTTGTTTATCCACTGAGTATACAGTACACTAAGCACAAATATGTATAGATTGTTGCACTTTAAGAAATATATTGTGGTATTGAAATTGTTTTTAAGATTTTAGAAAAGAGGTGATTTTTTATCAGAATCTAGAATTTGATGGTCCTATTGGCGTTGTTGTCCTTAATGCAGTAAAGATTGTTTAATACTATTTTGGTGGGAAGCTGCTTTCGGTGGGTGTATATTGGCAGTTGGGATACTTATAAGGAGCCATTTTTGTTTTGGCGGAGATTAAGTTAAGGCTAATGATTAGTCTAGATTGCAATATACATTTTGGTTACACCATGGGTATGCTGAGCTATAGTCTACACCATTTTAGATATTTCTCGGGGAATACTGATGACTATTTTTTATTAGTTGTACT